TCCGGGATGTGGTCCTTACATCGAACCGGGAGCTTTGCCTCACTTACCGAATTGGAGTGATGATTATGCAGAAGGTGTTGTGGGTTTGATGCATTGGACTATAGACAAGCATCTTAGTCTTCGTTTGGATCAAGTTTCCCTTATACCATCTGAACGTTATGCTTACCTCAAGGCTCAATTCTCTGGACAGACCTACGCTAGTAGGATTTCTTTGTACTGAGAACTACACACCACGACCTACGATCCATCATCCACGACAATCGATTCTCATATTGCGAAGGTTTCGGCTATCAGACGAAAACTGGAGCGGTCAGGAATGTGGATATCAGATGATTCTTTTGCGGCGATCCTTGCTATCAGCTTACCTAGCGGTTTCCCAAATGTTATGCACACTTTCGAATCGACTTTGCGTTCCAACCCCTTGGCAACTATCAGTTCTTCGAACATGACCTGGGCCATAGGGGCAGCAGATGTGGAGCATCGAAGAGGAAACGTAGGTGTTACTGAAGGTTTATCAGTCAATGTTGGAAAGAAATTTGTTAGATCTCAATCAAAATGTTCTTATTGTAAGAAGAAAGGTCACGAACAGAAGGAGTGTAGGATTCTCATCAGAGATGAGAAGAACAAGAAGCAGTCATCATCAGCTACTTCGACGTCAGATGCAAGAATGGTAGAACCCCAATTCGCCGACATCGACATCACTGGGTGCGTGGAAATCAGGCATATTCTAATATCGCAATTAGACACTGACCACGATCCTTCTACTGTCATTTTCGATACCGGTGCGACACATCACGTTTTCAACAATCGATCTCATTTCATTTCTATACGCAACATTGATCCTTTACCAGTTAAGATGGCCAACGATTCTTCTTCATCTTTTATCTCAGCTGTAGGATCTGTTCGTATTTGCAATGTAACAAACTCGGAAGAGTTTTTGATCGTTAAAAATGTATATTTTTGTGAGAACCTGCGTCACAATCTCCTCTCAGGAATTCAGCTTGAAGAGGAAGGCATCACTTTTCGAAATTCAACAGATGGTATTGAACTCTGGAGAAACAACAGCAAAACGTCAAGGTAGGAAATGGATTTTGAAAGCAATCATTCACTCCGTGACAACAGCTGCAGTACTTGGCGATTTCATGCTTTGGCATTGCCGAATGGGTCATCCTAATGACAGGACCCTCCTGAAATTAATCCGTGATCAACCCTGTGTGGGTTTGCCTGAAAAACTAACCAAGACTATTCCATGCGAAGATTGTGCAGTTGCGAAATCAACTAAATCTTCGACTATAGGACCTTCTTTGATATCTTACGATTCTCCTCTTCAACTGGTCGTTGCAGATCTATGTGGACCTTTTCCGGTGAAGACATTCTCTGGATCAGAGTATTCCCTCGAAATTCGCAACATTTATTCAACTTTCATGAGAACATATCTACTGAAGACGAAGAATGAAGCAAGTCAACATATCAAGAATTTCATTGCTGAAGCGGAAAGAAGGACTGGTTGTAAAGTTATTCATTGGCGCACAGATGGAGGGGGGGAATTTGTGAACAATTCCCTGAAGACTTATTTTGCTGAGAAGGGTATTAAAATTCAAAACTCACTTCCTTATTATCATGAACAAAATGGAAGTATCGAGAGAGCTAACAGGACTGTTCAATCGGGTATGAGAGTATTATTGAAAGACTCAGGTTTACCTAGACAGTTTTGGGGTTTCGCAATAACGACGGCGACTAGTCTCCACAACAAAACCCCGAATTCAAATACCGGTTCTCGAACTCCGACTGAGCTTTTGTTTGGTTTTGCACCTCAAGTAGACCATCTCAGAATATTCGGAAGCTGGGCATTCGTTCACGTGCCTGTGGAGAAGAGAAAGAAATTAGATCATCGAGCTGTGAAGTGTAGATTTGTAGGTTATTTAGAAGGAAGTAAGGGGTGGAGATTTTGGATTCCTGAAACTAACAAGTTTGTAGATTCAGCTCATGCTAAATGGCTTGACGAAAAGTCAATCACCAAGCAGAAGGATGACACCGAATCTCTGGTGTTCGACACAAATCCCACTTCCCTGGACAACATTCTTTCCTCAAAAGATCGACTGTCAGCACATCAAGAACTCAGAAATTTAATCGAATCTCTTTCAGTATCTTATTTCCTCGACGACGAATCTTTCACACAGACCGTACGAGAGCAAGATGCAAACATACAACTTTTACAAGCTAGAGCAGCAGGAATCGCATTCAACCTACCAAGAAGTTATCAGGAAGCTATGAACAGTGAACATAAAGAAGAGTGGAAAGAAGCATGTAAGAAAGAAGTAGAGATGTTGACGAAATTAGGAATTTGGGAAGAAGTAGAGCTGCCACCGGGTCAAAAGACAGTGTCAAGCAAATGGGTTTTCGCTGAGAAAACAAATTCAGAAGGTTTTATTTTCAAACAAAAAGCTAGATTCGTAGTAAGAGGTTTCACTCAGAGGGAAGGTATCGATTTCTCTGAAACCTTCGCTCCTACGGCGAAATTCACCTCGCTTATGATCATCTTTTCAGTTACGGCAAATAAAGGATGGTATATCCGTGCCCCATCGACGAAATCATATACGTTCGACCTGCAGAGGGAATCGAAACCTCACGTGCGAATTTGGTTCTCCTTCTCAAGAAAGCTCTCTACGGCACCAAGCAGGCGGCAAGGTGCTGGTGGAAGCATTTCTCGAATGTGCTAGCAGGTATGGGTTGCAGATATTGTATCAACGACCAGAGTCTTTATGTCTTACACTATAAAGGTCATACTGCTATGCTCTGGATCCACGTCGATGACGGTGTAATCTGCGGATCCTCTCTGGACATCATCTCATTCATCCACGAATCACTACTCAAGACTTTTCAAATAACTTGGAATGACAATCTCGAGCAGATTGTTGGCATCAAAATCAGCCATACCCCTCAGGGTATTTTCCTTTCTCAACCTCATCTTACTCAAAGTGTGCTCGAATCCACAGGTTTTACTTCATCGAAAACAGTTACACCTATGATAGCAAATCTTCAACTGGACTCGTCCGACAAAGACTCCATTGCACTCAACTCCTCTTCATATCTTTCAGTACTTGGATCTCTGTCGTATTTGGCTATAGGTACGCGACCAGACATTTCATATTCGGTCAACTATTTCGCAAGATTCTCTTCAAGACCGAACGAAAGCCATTGGCTAGCATTGAAACATCTCCTTAGGTATATTAGTGGAACGAAGAATGATGGTATTTGGTTTAGGAAAATGGTAAACGGCGATGACTTAATTACTTATTGTGATGCGAACTGGGGGGGGGAATTCTCTCGGTCAACACATGGGTTTGCTGTGTTCTTGTATGGTAATCTGATCTCTTGGGCATCAAGGCGTCAAGGTTGTGTTGCAACATCGACATGTCATGCAGAATACATGGCATTAGGGGTTGCTGCTCGAGAATCAATATGGATTCAAAATTTATTAGAAGACGTTTTCAAACTGACTTTCATCACTACTTTGAAATGCGATAACACAGCAGCAATCAAGGTAGCACAAGATTTACATCTAACGAAGCGCTCTCATCATGTTGCAAGAGAATTCCACTACGTTAATGAACAGATTTTTGATGGAAATTTAAAGATAGATTGGATAGATGGACCAAATCAAAAAGCTGACATTCTTACTAAGGCATTAGGAAATGTAATTTTTCAAATTCATAAAAAGAACATATGCATGTAGGATTACTAACCTCTAAAGGTTGAGGGGGGGTGTTACGGCCTGGACTGGCTAGGCGTCGTAGAAGACAAGCCACTCAGCCTTTTCTCACCCTTAATTGGTTTAGAATAAGTTGGAAGATTCAGGAACATTGTGATCTGAACCGGGTTTCATCTTTTCTCTTTTTGTCATTTGTGAACGCCACGTGAAACGTGTTTTGTATAAAAGATTCTGTTTTCTTCCCTAAAGTTGTTGTCTTTTCTCTTGTCACATTTTCTCATTGTTTCGGTAGATTAGAACTAACAACTAGTTCTCTAGGTTAGACATGTTTCATCTTTTATGCAATTGTCACATTTTCTCATTGTTTCGGTAGATTAGAACTAACAACTAGTTCTCTAGTTCTTGTCCCGCTCTACAGTGTTGAGCTTTGAATGTGGAGTTTAACAGTCTTGAATTGTGATGTTTTCAAGTTTGAGTTTTGAGAACAGCAGTTTCGACTTGATTATCCTACGATAAATCAAGTCGTAGGCTTGCGTAGATTTGGACACAGGGAATGCAAGATTTGACGCGGTTGTAGGGACCGCAAGTCTAAAACAGGTCCATAGTGGACCTGTCTATATTTTAGTGTTATTGTAACGCTAAATCACCTCGATAACACACCCATAATGGATGCTCTTAGAGCATCCGCAACCGTCACATTAAGTTGTTGGAATAGCTAAGTCTTCAACCAATGTTGGACCCGCCGCGCTCCCAGAAGCTGAAGCAGAGCTGAAGCGTATCTTTTTCAGCAGCGCTCCGCAGGCCTGAAGCTGCTGCGACCCCAGGGCTACGTTGCGTGGCTTGGGCGAGTAACAAAAAATTGACCCCGCTATCCGTCGTTTTGGCAGCGCGATCCGAGAAAGAGCGAGCAGCGCTTCGGGGCGCTTTTCGGTACGGAGCGGGTTAGCGCTCAGGGTTTGTATTTCCCAACCTCATCTCGCCCAATCTGGTAATGATACATTATTTAGTGCACTCACCACCCGTCACCATCCCAAGCCATCACCCAAAGCAGCCACACAACCCCCTTTCGATCCAAATGGAGCGAATGCTTCGTTATGTCTGTACTAGAACACTTGGACAGGCGTGTCCATCACATCACCCCTGGGCTTGATTTCGATTGTCACAAAAGGTATGTTGCGCTTTAGGTTTGATTTCTTCCTACCTTCCTTTCGATCCTCGTTCTAATAATTTTTTCTTCCTTTCTTTCAAATTCGTCTTCTTTTACATTTCTATCGATTCAGTCTTAAACATGCCCTCACAGTCCAAACACCCTAACAAAAATGATTCCAACACCCTCACGGGTACCCCATCACGACCTCAACGTACACGCCATCCGCCCTCAAACCCCAACATGGTCTCTCCTTGTCCTGATGGGCGACGACGTGTATCTTTGGATCAACAAACAAAGTCACCAGGCCCTTCCCAAAGAAAACGTAAACACCAATCTTCAATTGCCGTATCAGATTCAAACACCCCTCAGAGTCAGGATTCTTCCCACGAATCCGATATTGAAGTTGATCATGGGAAAGGTAAGGGTAAGCAAAAGAAGAGTGCTACCCGCAAGAAACGAAAGACTACCAACAGCAACAGCGACGAGGTGAGTAACTGTCTTGCTTGCTCATCTGACTCATTATCACTTCAAGATCTGATTGTTACTTCTGGATTGATTGTAACAGATCACATGTACTGGGTCGAGGTTTGTCAGCAGGAAGGATCTGCAAGCTGATTCAGACGAAGAGAACGCAAAAGTCAAGCCTCGAGCCTCGATCCGAGGTGATTCCGATCAATTGCTAGCGTACTTTGGGGAACCTTATTACCTAAAGGGTGATGTATGTATTTTCTCGTTTACATTCACCTTTTGATATTTTCTATTGCATCATGTCTTACATTTCGATTTTTGCATTTGTTCCTCTACGATTTCTGTTATTTTAGGACGTAAGCAAGCCACCTTTATCTTATCCTTGCACTTGGTGCGCTTCCAACCCGGACAGGCCAACTCAAGTACGAGTCAGTCGAAGCAACCTCAAAAACAATCTCAGGACACATCGAGACGGCCACCCTCAAGATGGTCGGTCCAAGACTGGCTGTCCCGGTCGCAACAAAGCTCGCAAAGCTGGACTCGAAGTACCCCCCTCACTTGACGAGATTGCACGTGCAAAAGCTTCAGATAAGAACAACAAGGCCTCAATTTCGTCTTTTGTAACTGTAGGTCCAAAAATCAAATTCGACAACCTGGTATTTAATCAAATGATGTGTCTCTGGGTCACCACACGTCGACTCCCATGGAATCGAATGACGGACACATGGCTACGGTCTTCAGTTCAGTACCTTCGTCCTGAAGCACGTTTGTATGGTCGAAAGTGGGCCGCAAATGAATCCAAACGGTTGAATTTGTCGATTAAGAAAGTTGTTTTTGACGAGTTAAAGGTGAGTCTTCTATTTGATCAACCGCTTTCTCTGAATACGTTAGTCTGAACACCTGATACTGATATTCACAATTTTGCTTATAATACTACTGCAGGGTTTGTCAAGCAAGATTAGTCTTCAGCAAGACGTTTGGACATCGAAAGGTAATCGGCACTGCTTCATTGGTGCAGCCGTCACATTCATCAATGACAAGTGGCAGTTTGTCACTCGCCACCTGACTCTCAAACTTGTAGCATGGGAGCACAAGGGGAAGTGGCTTGCAGAGCCCATAGTTAACATTTTTGTTAAACGAGGATTAGTTAATAAGATAAGTTTAAATTTTTACGCTTATTGATAATAGTCTACAATACTTACCTTCTCCCTATATATACCTCCTCTGCCAGACCACTGATTCAGGCTCGAATAACCTGACAATGGCACGAGAGATGCATGCTCAGTTCCTTAATCAGCCAAATCTCGTCGACTACACCTGGGATCCAAGCGATATGCATATTTTCTGTTTTTGCCATAAAATGGCTTTAATAGTTGGAGTCGGATTGGACGCCCTCGGACTGAAGTCTCCGCCGCCTAGAAAGTTCTTAGGTCGATTTCCTGAAATCAATACTTCCATTATTGAAGAAGAGGACGAGGAACAGGACGACCTTGGGCCTGTAGCTGAGGTTCCTGATGTGGCAGTTCCACCGGTTGATCCCAATGATTCTGAACATGAACCTGACCTACAGGCGTTGGTGGATAGGGAAGAGCAAGACGATGAAATCCCAGATGAGGATCTTGTTTTAGATGATGAAGATTGTTGGGACGCTGCTGACAATGAAGATGAATGTCCTCCTGCAACAGTTCACCCTGCCGAAGGAGCACAACCAACACATCGCCGAGAAGCTAACAATCTTGATGCGCTGCTAGTGAAGGTATCATCATTTTATCTCTGAGGCTCAATTAGATACTGACTTGGTGTTTCATTACATTCACAGGTTGATTTCATCCTCAGACGCATCACTCGTTCGGCTCCTTGGCGAAAGGAATTTGATCGTATCATGAAAAGCAAAGGCCTTCACTTAGAGACTTTGATTGCAGCTTATGGCATACGATGGAATATTAAGCTGATAAGTCGAGAAAAAGCCTGGAAGGCCCGAGAAGTATGTCATTCATCCATCTTTTTATCTCTTGTGACCCAGGAAATGATCACTGATATGATTATAACATCGATATGAAGGTTATTGATCAGCTGCTCAAGGACGACTTAGCTCGAGTCCATGCTAAAAACCGTTGACCTCGCAAAAACGGGAAGCCTCATGGCTACTTCCATGAAATGACTATCACTCCGTCAGAATGGGCGCAAGTGAGAAATCTCAACGCTGAGCTAAAGGTGAGGTGGTCTCAATGGGATTTTTTAGTTGGCGTGTTCATTAATAACTGTTACTGATGCTGCTATTGATCATGATGAATATTGGACAGCGCTTTTTGGAAGCAACCAAAAGAATGGAAGGTCAGGGGCCAACAGGATCAATCGTCATTCCAGAATACGTCGAACTCCGGAAGACATTACAAGATCGATCAGATGAACTAGAACCTACCGAGGCACTATATCCAATGATCGCTGCGATGCTTAAGAAGACTCAGAGTCTTCTCGACGAAGCTCTGTCATGTCACACCTTGGTCATGGCTACAATGCTCCATCCTGCATTTCGTTTACGGTTTTTTCACACTTTCTTTGGCAAAACATCGAGCACTTCAATACAAGCCGAGGCTTCTTTTGGTAAAGAATTCAAGAGGTATCAAAGCAAATCACCACACCAGCTTCCAACCAATCCCGCTACCGAGTCCGACCTTACTGCAGTATCCAAGCCGAAAGCTTCCATCTACATGGTGTACAGTGATGACGAAGACCAAGGCATGGGCGACGAAAACCAACTGACTGACTACCTGCGAGGTAGCGATCGAATGAAGGATGGCGAGTATGATATATCCAATCCAGACTCAGCATTGAGGTGGTGGGAGGTAAGTCATCTCCTACTAATTGTATGTCGGTTGTGATTCAGCGCTGATTGATGTCTTCATTTCGTTTAGGCTCATGCTAACCGATACCCTGTCATTGCCCGAATGGCCAAGGACTACCTGTCGTGTTCAGGTGCTTCTGCTGAACCCGAGAGGAGCTTTAATGTGGCAGGGGATGTGTGTAGAGCAGAGCGTGGAAGGCTGATGCCTATTGCTATCGAACGGCAAGTCTCAAGCGCACTTTGGGAACTTGAAGGAGTCCCATTAGGGGATCAGTTCATCAATGTCATGCAGGCATCTCAACGGGAGGAGTACAAACCATATCTCAAGGAGTATTATATGGTGCACGGTGCTCCAGCTAATTCAAAGTAGCTGGTTTTCTTTCTTTTTTGCTATCAGTTATTGTTTTCTTTTCTTTTCCATTCTTTAATCACGCCACCACAAGTCAATCATTAATTCCTACATCCTAATAAACAACCATAACCACTAATATATATTTTATACATGCTTTTTAATGTAATTATTTCATTTTTCGATCGCTTACACCGCTTTGGGAGCGTAGCGATCGCTTTATAGCTATACGCTATGTGACCCTGAGTTCAAGAGCTGCGAATAATCGCTGCGCTCTTGCTTACGGCGTAGCTTATTGAAGCTTCGTTATGCAAGGGCTGGAATCGACATAGCGGGTTTTCGCTCCGCTGTCGCTTTCCTGCCCCGCAACGTAGAAAAGCGCTGCTTGTCCAACATTGCTTCAACTCACCAATTTTGAAATTTCCACAATGGTGAAATTTCAACTGATTGTTAGTTAGATTTGCAACAAAAAATCAGTAGGCTGGGACAAAGTTATCCCAGCCTACCGACTGCGTTAGCTAACTCCCCGCCCTCAAAAACCACCGAAAACACCAACCTCAACTCGACTCACCATTTCTCAACACACCCCACTTCCACCTTCACTTCAACAATACAGCACCACTCATCAATCACAATATTCATTGATGCCCATCAATACCAAAGCAAGTTCAACTCCGCTGCCTTGCTCATCCTTCACCTCAATCACCTCAATCACTTGGCACTCCCATCATCTTCTACCACCACAATCACATCCAACCTCAAAGTTAGAGTTCAAAAATAAATATCATGATCTAGGACAACTTTATTCTTCAAATCTCAACTCAATATATGTATTCAATACTTGATTGCATCAATCTCTCGGCTTGAGATCGTATGAATTTCTTGATTGGATGATTCAATTTGTAATTGGTCTTTAGATGTTTTATTCCATTGTTTCCTAGCATCAACACATCATCCAACATCAAATATATAGACAATGAAAGGCAAAAATTAACTTCACATTGTGTGAGTTATACAACTTGAGAGTTGGAGGAATTAGAAAATAGATCTGTTGGTTGTTTGAACCAGCAGACATTGAGCTAATAAGTAAAAGAGGCAGATCAATATTGTTATGAAGAAGTAAAGTGAGGAATGATTGAGAAATTTGTTGGTTGTTTGATATTTGAAGACAACTTAGCTCTTGACTTGAAGCATACAATTGTGGTCTGAGTCTTTAATTTGGAGTTAAATATGTCTAAACTCCAAATTAAAGACAACAACTGTGGGATTTGGCGTGAGATTAGTTGACTCCGGCTAACAATTGTTAACTTTAGCTTAACTAACTCCAATTTTAACGCAAACAGCTGTGGATGCTCTTAGATAACAAGACTTAACCAAGACTTAAATAGTTAAGCAAACCTAAACCAAATACAACTCAAAGAAAGATAAACCTAAGCGCCAACCACAAGTTGACACTCAGGTCTGGAATATATAAACCCCTCCTCTTCCCCCTCTGGAAGAAGGATCAACTTCACATCATTCCACAATTATACATCAAAAGTTACTTGATTCTTACCAAAGAATATTAATTAAACAGTGATTCTATTGTATTTGAACTTCTAGTTCTAAAATCCTCTTCAAGCCTTTGTAAGCTTTAAAGTGGTGCTTCTAAGCTAGTGGGAATAGCTAAAGAATCAAGCTTTTGAATCACATAGGATACCTCCTGGGTTGAGTGTAAAGTATCTGCTGAAGTCTTTGAGCAATCAAAGTGCAAAGCTCTGCAGGCTCTGGTTGCAATTTCTAACAGAGCTCAAAGTAAGATCCTTTGAGGGATTACTCAACCAACCCACTGGTTATTAAATCCTCTTTTTAGAGGTCATTTAACTGTAGTCTTCACTTGGGTGTACCAAGTGAAGACTATATCCACTTACATTTTGACCTTTTATAGTGAAGAGTCAGCCTATAGTTTCTGATTCCTCACATCATGGATCATTGGTAATTAGATTGATCTACATATCAATTATTTCAATTAGTGGAGTCAGTGGCCAATATCCAAAGGAAGTAACATTCCAATTTGCATGACCAGAATGACAACTACTTGGCCAAAAGACATCTTCTCAAAGTTGATGTGATGATCAGTTGTATGTTGTCATCTGAGCTCTCTTTATGAGTGATGCAATAGATTTACAAGTATGTCCATTGGCTTGTAGATCTAGGGAGTGAGAGCTTTGAAACAGATAGTGCTTGAGGCTTGATGCAGACCATAGGAGGTTTTGTCATGAAAAACCTAGACAAGAGATACAGGTATATGCACACACAGGGATTATGAAATATGTAGAACAACCTAGAGCAACAGCAACAATACAGATAGCAAAGACTACACACTAACAACAAATCAAATGAAACTTGACATAACCATTTGTTGACAAATAATGTAACACCTGATAATCTCTAATCCACTTCTGTGAAGTTCAATGAACAGAAGATCAATCTTAAAGAGCTCTCAGAGGTCAACAGAAACCCGAAACAAATAACATGTTTTGATCCACTATAAAATCTACATCTCCTTGCAGACCTGTAAATCTTGATTTACAAAGTTGCTCACACCACAGGCATCTATTAGGTTGAATCATATGTGAAACTTAATGTGGTGACAGAGTTCACAATGAGTTTCAAATTTGGATTGAAACCTATTAAAATCCACCCCCCCTTGCCTTTAATAGGTTCCAATCAAAAAATTGAGACTTATTGCGGACTCAGACACCACAACTTTGCTCAATCAGGTCCCAAACATAATAATTCCCGCAGTGTCATCATACTCTGGACCCACTTGATCAAGTTTACAGGACAAAATGGGCAGGATGGCCACACTTATCTTCAAGAGATAGTTCAATATTGACATGCAGTCTGACTCTCACACATTCCAGGCATTGACACACAGCTTTCTGCATGGTAAAGTGTTCAGGGATATTGATGAGGACATAAAGAGAAGCTACAATTGGGAGCTGAGGTATATGATTACCACTTCTTTGGACTACTCACTAGTGTCACATAAAGAATGCATCATTGATTTCCTTTGGACTTGTTTTTCTGGGGCTCTATTTCCTAAAAAAATAGAACAAAGCCTTTCAAAGATCTCATAGCTCTTCTTTTTTCTTACCACTTTCATCTGGAGCTTTTCGATTAAGGATACCCAATAGCTATAATTAATAGAAATAAAAAGCATTTCAAAATTAAATAACCGCATAAAAAGTAAGACGATGAAAGACGAACCTCAACTTCGAAAACAAGTGTTGCACCTCCTGGAATAACTCCACCAGCTTTCAATCAAAGTGACAAAATCATTAGGATCTGTGAAAAGGCTAATTTGCTTCACAAATCAAAAGTTACTCACCACCTCGGTCTCCATAACCCATACTTGGTGGAATACGTAATTTTCGTTTCTCTCCAATACACATGCTACGGTAAACAGAAAAAAGATATTAAAGATTGCAATACTCAAGGCATAATTTGAATGTGTGACTCACTCTAATAAACCTTGATCCCAGCCTGCGATAACTTGTCCAGCACCTAAGGTGAAGTCAAATGGTCTGATAATTCAAAAGTGTTTGTTAGTTACAAATTCTAGGAAAATATTGAAAGATTTTTAAAGAGAGTTACTAACTGGTTTCGATCAAGTGATGAATCAAACTTGCTACCATCCTTCTGAAGTGTACCGGTATAATGCATCCTGGTTGTTCAAAAATAAAGCCAAAAAACAAAGAGTCAGATTCAATTTATCAATCTTTGATCAACGTACAAGTCATACTTACGAAAGCTTATCGCCTTTTTGTGTTTTGATAGGGCATTCAGTTGGTTTATGAGTCACACCGATTTGTAGTTTATCGTCCGAACAATTCACATTAAAAGTTTGAATACTAAGTGCTAGAATTAAACAACATAGAAATTTTGAAATGTTTGGAGTCATGATGTTTGAAGTGGTTGGTATCTTTGAGGTTCTAGTGTTGATATCTGGTGGTGGTGATCGACTTGACTTTCCTCTTGGTCATCGTCATCGTCAGTCAAATCAAAAATGACAGGCTGTATGTAATGTCACGTGGTCTCCCTCGTTATAGAGATAACGATATCTGTATATCATGTCAACCTTTGGGTTCATGTGTAGTTTTAAAAAATTGAATTTGACCGATTTCTTGAAACCACAACCAACAGCAATATCTTCAAACCACTGACTCAAGGACCTTCATCATGGAGAGTGCACAACGTGAGTATTAAATTGAAATTAATGAAGCATTATCATCAAACTAAATGATGGATCTTTTTGACCAGTTCGAATGGAGCGAATGCTCCCAGAACTCAGGGACTTGGAACAGAAAAAAGTATTTACAAAAGTTAGTAAGCTTTTGCATTCCACCCTTCATGCCTGGAGAACCCAGGAAGTTTGAGACCGAATTGACATCTTGAAAAAATTTAGTCTGAGATTTCAGCCATTGTATCTCAAAGACAAATTCATGAAGCTGCAATTGCTAGACCAAAGTCACATGAACCTTATATGCGATATATCGATTATGAACGAAGGTTAGAACGTTTGCGGCAATTGCGAGTCTCAAAGATAGGTGTGTGAAGAGTTTTGTTCTGATTGATGACACATGAATGTCTCGAATATTGTGATACTAATGCTTTTCGCATTCACTTTCATAATTTTTAAGCTGGACAACAAAGTCAAAATCGTCCTCGAGTCACAATTTCCGATTACTCAATCCCACTTCACATCCTCAACCTTTTCTCAACAGCAGCTAAACGATACCCCGAATCAAGATCACTATGGATGGCTTACATCACTTACTCTCTTACTCAATCATCACCCAAACTAATCAGTCGAGTGATTTCTGCAGCAATAGCAGCACATCCAACCGATCCAGAATTTTGGACCATGGCAGCAAGATTCGAATCAGATGGAGATCAAAATGGTAAAGGAGGTGGAAATGTAGATGGAGCAAGAAAACTTTTGATGAGAGGTTTAAGGTTTTTAAAAGGAGAAGAATCTTTATCTCTTTGGATTGAATGGATTAGGATTGAATTGAATTTCGTTCAAGCTATGACTCAAAGAAGGAAATTTTTAGAGAAGATTACAGATAAAGGATCTGTTATTATTCGGAATGATGATTTGGTACTCGAAGACTCTGCTGCTGATACGGCCATGGAGTTGGATCAACTTGAGGAAGAGAATGAGAAGCCGGATGAGATGAATAAAGATGTTTTGGTGATCAAGGGCCAAGGTCAGGAAGCTTTGCAATCAGGTGCTCTAATCAAAGTTGTACTATCAAACGCATTCAAAGGTACTTTCAAATTTTGCTTCTGTCATCAAATATCTCATTAATCTTTATTTTGGTGACTTTGATTTCTAGCGATACCTAGCCTTTCGATTTTTGATGCAGTAATTTCTTTATTGAATTCAACAGAGCTTCCAATCAAGTCAGCTCTCCTCGACTTTGCATACACAATGTTACAAACACTTCATTCTCAACTTCCACGCGCAACAGTAATGATAATCACTCGAGACCTTTTCACTCATCATCAAACAGATAATACATTCGCCATTAGTGGTGTCAAACTTGTTGATAGTTTATCTTCTACAATCAAAAAACTTCAATCAATCTGTAAAGAATTATCAAATCCAGAAATGTGGGAGGAATTTTTACGATTCTTAATTGATGTTCATACTAAGTTGGATGATGACGATTTGGTCAGCAGAATATACTTTCAATTTGATTTTTTTTTCAAACACCAGACCGAAGATTTTTTTATGCTAATGAATTGTATCCTTTCTTAGCGCCAATACGTTTCTTTAGTCGTCAAGAAGACCATGACTTCGATAATATCCAAGAAAACAGATTCAGTCAGGTGTCACGAGTTAGCCCTCTCACACTACCAAAGCACATCTTCCCATCCCGAGATTCTTTCAGCCTCAACTCAAGCCACAACACGTTTTCCAGAAAGTCTTTCACTTTGTATTTCTCGATTAGAACTTATAATTCAATCTACTAAAAATGGTCAAGAAAATAATTCAAATTATCTACAAACTTTTCATCATGCTCAAACTCAATTCCCAGGATCATTACGCATAGCTGAGTTATTTGTTCAAATCATTAAACTAAAACATGCACGGAAAGAAATGACTGGTACAGATATGAAAGATTTATTAATGGTAAGTCTTGAAATCTGCTTGAATCATTTCTCAAAAACTTACCAACTAATTTGGTCGATCTTTCTTAATATGACAGCTTAATCTGGATAGAGCTGCAAAAAATATCCGAGAGCCTATTCTACCTACAACGCCATCATCACCAGACCAATCCCAAACAGTCATAGAAGTATACCAAAGGTCATTAATAGAAACATCACCCCCAAAAAAACCACATAAACCAATTTATATCACACTTTCACATCAAACAACTTTATCAATAAGTTTTTTGAATTGGGCAACATCATATGAAAAAGATTTGAATACATTAGAATATTTATTTAATCTTTTGATTTCTCATCCTAAATCGAATTTAAATGAATGGTTAAATTATTTGAAATTTTTATTAAATGTCAAGAAAGATGTTATTGAAGTTGATCAACAATTAGTAAAAGCTAAACGACTTCTTGGGTTTAAAGCTGGACAAATTTTAGAAGAGAAATGGATGGAATTGATTCAATGTTAATGGTTCTCCTTATGAACATCATTTATATGTAATGAAGGTTTTTTTTTGTTATGATGAATTTTGTTACGGAAGGTTTCATAGTATTGGTTTGGTTGTGCATGTTTTCTCTTTAAGAAGTGTGATAGATCTCTTTGTTGATGTTTTGTTGAATTATATTGCGTGAAGCTTTGTTGATTACCCTTGAATAGACCCTCTTTGCATCAGGAATGGGTGTGTAACTTGCTTTTGGACTTTCCTGACTTTGTTCATGTACTCTGAGTCTGGATGCTCATGGTTATCGTGGCGACAGGCCGTCATTCTCTGAACAAGTCACATTCTCGTGATGAGTACGGAAAGTGGGCTGGTATGACTATAATGCTCATGTAGCGAGAGCAATTGTGGATTACAGTGGAAATTGTGATAATTTCACGTGAGGCTAGAGTGGGCATGGTTGTTCGCCGAGGAGAATGTTTTTTTCGTGCGATGTGCGAATGGTCTTGGTTGGGGAGGGTAGGGTGCAATTGTTACAAAGAAATGTTCTCATGAAGGATGTCTTGGTGAGTTGTGTCTCGCTGCGATTGACTTACTAGGGCAGGACCACCTCTTTCACATCGAGGCTCATGAGTCTGGTGGGTGAAAAGTTGTCATACGTCAAACGAAGGGGTGACACGAGCGAACTGGACTTGAGATGATCAAGGTCAAGGATTTCCAACCTGTCCGGCTTGAAACGATGACTGCTTTCATTGGTCCAGATCAAATCCTTCAATAGAGCCTCATCTCAATTTCAGTCTGGCATGAACAACCGAGGAAAACAAGCTGAATTCTATTGCAAGATGCAACTTTTGCCCGGTTCTGGTTGAAATCCTTTACTTCAAGTCCATCCAGAAAAATGATCAGTCCTTCGGAAGAGATTGACTGGTCCTATAGCGCGCATTGTGATCATCAAAAATTCGTTGATGGCGAGACTCTTTTGAGTATAAGAAGACTCGTTTACTCCTCATGGCTTGTTATTGTTCATCCAGCTCGTTCATCCAATCGTATCTATCTGCCTTCCTTCTTATCTATTCAACTGCTTTTCATATAACTCACATTACCTTCACTTTCACTTCCTCAAGCACATTTACTACAGACCTTACATACTATTTACTTTCTTTGACGCACATATCATTTTTTGATTATAAAACATTTTCATATCAACTCATTCATCCTTACATACTTTTAACTTATTCCCCACTCTAACAATATGCAAATCAACATTGCTTACGTTGTCGCTGGTCTCCTTGTCTTTGTCTCATGTAAGCCTGTCTTAAAACCCTTCTTTATATCTTTCGAATTATACTGACGTACCCTTTATGCTTTAGCAAACTTTGGCGAGACTGACGCTCGCATGATTCCTACCAGCCATCAAGGCGTAGCCGCGTTAGTACATTCTATATCACCATGTGTCCATCGCCGAATATCTCAACTGACTCATCATTCCCTCTCAGTCATCGCGAACACAAACGACAAGCAGGTGGATATGCACCCGGAGGTGCTGCCTACGGTGGCTCCAACACTGCCAACACTGTTCGACCTGCTGTGGGAAGTGGAGCCGCTCATGAAGCCGCTGCTGCACCTCTATCTCCTACCACATTACCTGTTGGGGGCGCGACTCCTCCTTACTCGGCTCCATCCATCGTATCGCCAACTTCCCAGGGTCCTGTGTCTGTCGGCAGCTCATCCCCACCGATGCCTAAAGCCCCACTTTCAGGTTCCGCGCCCTCTGCATCCGGCCCATCAATTGTTTCACCAACATCCCAGCGTCCAGTCGGCATGGTTCCTCAAATGCCCACTGAAGCAGCATCGCCAATGTTATCAGCACCTGGAGGTCTCATCCCAGCATCAATCGGTGGCGGCCAACCTGTTGGCTCATCTGCCGGCGCTTATCACGCCGGTTCAGCCCCCACCCCAATCACGCGGGCTTCTCCTCTTTCGGTCCCAGGCGCCCCTTCCATCCCTCTGGAAGGTTCCTTGCCCTTGCCAGTCGGTGGGCTCAGCGGATCGCCTATCCCCCTTCCATTAGGTGGTGCTCGTGGGACACCCATTCCATTCGGCAGCAACGGTCCCCTTTCATTGGGAACCAACGGTCCTTTACCCATCGGAACCAACGGTCCCCTCCCAATCGGAAACAACGGCCTTCTCCCAATTGGAACCAACGGTCCCCTACCAATCGCAAACAACATCCCCCTTCCAATCGGAAGTAATGAACTTCATCCACTCCCTGAAGCACCCCTCGCTGTCAGCAAAAGTTTCATCCAACCCCCTTTCGGCGTCAATGCCGGCCCAGCACTTCTAGGTCCTTCAGGCACCTTTGGTGGCCCACAATTTGGTGTACCAGGAGTTGGAGTTGGAGGCCCTGCAGCTATGCTTGGCGGGCCAGCTGTTGGACTTGGTGGTCCATTCGTTGGACTCGGTGGCCCTGTAGCTGGATTTGGTGCTGGGCAACACGTTGGTGTTGGAGCACAAGTTGCACCAGGATTCGGGTAAGTAGACTGTCTTAAGTCTCTGCAAAGCAATGTCACTAACTGATTTCACATTTTCTGTATTGATAGTGTTGGTCCGGGATTTGTCGGTGGACCCGGTGTCTTTCCAGGCGCTGGATTCCACGCTGGTGCTGGTGTAGGTGCGGGTGCCGGTGTTGGCTCTGGACTTGGAGCTGGAGCTGGAGCTGGAGTCGGTGCTGGATTCCATGCAGGTGCCGGTGTTGATCAAGGTGTTGTCCCCGGATTAGGTGGCTTCCAAGGCGCTGGATTCAATGCGGGAGCTGGCGTAGGCGCTGGTGCTGGCGTAGGTGCTGTTCCTGGACTAGGCGCCGGAGCTGGTGCCGGAGTAGGTGCTGGATTCAACGCTGGTGCAGGAGCCCTCCAGAGAGTTGGTGCTGGAGCTGGTGTTGGCGCTGGTGTTGGAGCTGGCGTTGGCGCTGGTGCTGGTGTTGGTGCCGGAGCTGGTGCCGCCGCTGGTGTTGGAGCTGGTGCCGGAGTTGGTGCTGGAGCTGGTGTTGGAGCCGGCGCTGGCTTCCACGCTGGTGCTGCACAACACGCCGGTGTAGGCGTACTTGCTTAAATCTCATAAAGTATAAATTGTTTTCAAATGTATCTTTTGTTCACTATCCAACTTGTTCATGTCGTCCGTCGCTTATTGACCCATAAATCATCATCAACCATGTACAATTCTGAATAAAATCCACATTTTAAAAATTATTGTCACAATTTTACACCATTATTAAGATCATCAACCCATTACCTAACACATAACGTACCAGTCATATCAGCAATGCGCCTACCTTCCGCACAAACCAATTGACTCTGTGATTTCTCTGAGCTGGAATGTCACATTGAATTGGCTATGCTGCATTTCAATCAACGCTGAGATTCAATTCCTTGATTCATGTGTTCTGTTTACTCTTGATGCGCTTAAGAAGCATGCTTCAGAGCCTTGTACTACCACTTTACTGTGGTCTCATCATCACTTTTCACAACTCATTAAGTTTTGTCGGAAGTCTTTTGACTCAAACAACCTCAGATTCAGAGCATCAAGCTAACCCAACGATTGACTTAATACTTTCGATCTCGCTTCCGTATTGAATGTCTCTAAGAGCATTCTTCGTAAATAATCGCCGTGTCAACCTGAAGACAGAATCCTGATGAATTATGCCATAGGATTGTTTTAACCTACATGGGCCGAACTCAAGATATCGTTATCAGATGGAAGAGAAGAAACTTTAAGCAAATATTTCCTCATGAAAGCAGGACTACAATTCGGGTGTCCGAGGCAATGCTGTTGTGAGATGGACGAGAGAAAACCCGTGCAGAGCTCGGACCGGATCTTCGACTCTAAAAGATGAGAATGAGATGGGTTGGCATGGCTGAGCACTTGAAGTTGCAAAGTCAGAAATGTCATTGGAGCTAGATTGGACATCACTTTCACCTTTACTGGCCAAGACTCTAACTGATCAACTGAATCGAATACTACCATCAGTACCTTTACCAACATTTCTAGATCCAATCATCATTCAATCAGTCGAGTTTGGTGATAGTTCTCCTGAGATTCAAATCATCGACATTCGTGATATCAGTAAAGCTTTCTCTGACGCTGATATACGAGCTCAATCATCAAGATCTCAGCAAAATTATAATGAATCCGCCTCTCCATCACCTGCCGATCGGTATCCTCCCGACTCTGATAGTCGATTTCTCGGTTCTAGACCTTCTCCTAGTATCGCAACTTCCTTCAATGCCAATCGGTCTCATCAAGCAGTAGAAACTCCCCGTGATCATGCTGCTTTCCTTACTCCAACAAATTCAAACTTCTCAGACTGGCGGAATACACAACAATCCTCAAGAGCTCATGAACCTAGACTTCCATCACCTCAAACTCGTAGCTCATCTTCTCAACCATCACTCGAATTACATTTACGAGTGACCTATTCAGGGAACATGCGGATCGACCTATCAACTGCACTGGTCCTTAATCATCCTGCACCGCTCTTCATGAGTTTGCCTGTCAAGATGCGAGTCATGGGATTCGTATGCGCAGCCGAAGTAATCTTGGCCATCGAAGCTGATCGATCAAGATGTCATTGTACGATCATGGAACCTACTGCAAATTCAGAGGAAGAAGTTGATGATGGACTTCATCCATCTGAACTGACGCCTGGTGCAAGAATCTTACCGGAAATGCTTATCCACACTGAAGTTGGTAATGCTGATAAACATGTACTAAGAAATGTGGGAAAAGTTGAAAGGTTTTTACTTGATACATTACGTCGAATTATCTGTGATGAACTCTTGTTTCCGGTAATGTTTTTTAAATTTCTTCTTTTCATTCAGATCTGGAGTATTTTCAACTGATTCGGCATTGTTTTGCGATATAGACCTTTCAGACTTTTGATTGGTCATAGAGGAACGAAAATCTATTCAAAAATATAACGTATACTACATTCACCCATAGCTTCAAACGTGATCCTGTAACATCATGCAATTTCTTTATCAATAGACAGTCAAATTCAGCAAGGTTCAGTCTCACCCATCACACCTGGTATCAGATTCTACACCATCCCAAACCTGAGGTGAGTAAAGTGTCCAAATTCCCAATGTACCAATGCACTTAATTAAGAAGTACTGTTTCATATGATTGCTCATGTTGATCTCAAAACCAAAATGCATCATTTGGAGGGATTGAACTTGCTTATTCAACAAATGTTATACAGTTCTGCAAGCCAAATCCATCATATGTACAGCCTCAATCGCACCATGTATGAAAAGGATAATTGAGAATTGTGAATTCTATCAGAATGATCCTTTCAGAGTTTTATAGGTTTGATTTCTAGGGTGATCCTTACAATTCCAGATTTATTTGACTTTCCATCAGCCTGATCAAAACTCACTTGTTCAATTTTTCAAAAGCAATTTCTTTATAGCACAGAATCACACTGTATAGGGTCACATCTCTAGTGCCAGCTGTGTCTTATAATACACTTTGAAATAACTCTTGCCATGCTCCACATGATACTCACTTTTTTCACACACTGAGGTTACTTGGCAAATGCCCCTGAAACTGTGGTGGTTTAGAATCGTGAAGGTAGACTATAGGGTGAGGGTGCTTTTGCTATGGATACCAAACATGTTGCTTGCTACAACCCAATTGAGAAAAAAATGAATTTACATTTGCCAGTTGTTGCAGAAGAGGAAATGCATCAACATAGTTGGTGCAATAACCCCACTCCAGGAAATGTTGATAGGATGATCCATACCAGCTGCTCAGAAAGACATTGGGGTAACGAATTCGATGTGTAACAGGCACTACGTTAAGTGCTTACGTTAAGCTATTGCTTGATTAGGAATGGAAGTCTCCAGGTATGGGTTGAAGGAAGGACTTAGGCTATCTTAATGGAGATGGTCGATAAGGTACTTTAAAGGATTATAAAGGAGATTATCGAGAAGGATTGATATTAAGATGTATTACTATCCAAAAGTGGATGAAAGAAAAGAGATTATTAGAAGGATCCCACTATTTCGAGCCCCCTTAGGAGAACCCCGGCGCCCCTCGGGTTTTGACTATTACCCGCGTGGGCCGACAAAACTTGAAGGTTAGCAGCCAGATTTTCGCATAGTCGGACCTTTAGGGCTGCTTGCGAGGGCGCATTCACACCACTCTCCCCCGTATGACTTGTTCTGCGCCCTTGGGAGCCCTTGGGTCGTCAAATAGAGCAACAAAGAATCCAGTCACATCCAATCTCCAGCTATCATTGAGCACCATCGTCCATCAATTCATCAATTCTCTCGATCAAGTCTATCCATCATCAATTCAATCCAATCTTTGAATCTTCATCATCACAACAAAAAACCACATTATGTAGACCTAGCATCAATCAATCCATTTCATCTATCTTATCTCAACATCCATCTTCAACCGATACATCATCATATTATCTTAATAATAGTGGAACAGATTCAAAAATTTAAGAGCAACTTGATGTGAATAGAAGAACAGGTCGTCATGAAACTTTAGCTATTCGCATTGGAGTGATAGACACCCGAACCAGCCCTACGACTACACGGACATCAAGTAAAGTTGATATACGATTTCAGCAGCCTCTCATGTAGATGTAGCCACTTTCCCGGTGACTTATTAACTTATGGTATGCAGTATGATGATCCTTATAAAACAAACCTCTGGTATGACCTTCTTGTGTTATATCGGTCTGGTTTTAACCACAGCGCTTGGCTCGTTGCTTATGCTTGGTTGTGGATTATCAACCTACGCCCACAAATGGGTTTGTTTTTTAGGGACTTTGTTGAATTTACTGCTTGGTACAAGTATTTGGTTTTGCTTTCAATTCATTTGATTTTGGATATCACAAACCATTGTAGTTATTGGTATTTCTAACCTTCTACCTCAACTGTGATGTTTTATCTTGAATATGTTTACCTGTTCTTTGAATGAAACCAATATCGACTTGGCTGAACCTCAATGAGCTGTAGCGGACGTTTGGTTGACTTATAAAATAAGGCGAAATAAACTTAAAGTCGCGCCCCTCAAAGGAGCCCCTTTCTTTCGAAAAGGGGCTACAAATCTCTTGAAGCCCCCCGGGTAAACCCGAGGGGGGCGCCGGATATCGGATAGGGGGCTAGAAATAGTGGGATCCTATTAGAAGACTGAGGAATACAAGAGAAGGACTCGAAGTGTTCCTTATAAGAGGGATACAAGATGGCGGAAAAGGGCAGAAGGCCGGTTATGGAGTAGCCGGTATTACAATATATAGTATAAGCCATTTACAGGTTGTATAACATAATGGCGAGTATAAGTGGTAATACAATAGATGAAACATGTAACAGATCCTGATACAGACTAGCGTTAAGTAGCCCTGCTACACCACCCCCTCCTTAAAATACTGCAGCATCCCTAGGCTGCAGTGTCCGTCACAAATTTTCCAACGATTCTAATTTTCGGCGTAATCTTGATCTGGGTGTTGGCAAGTTGCTTTGCTTTGAACTTTAACGTCCTGGAAACTTTCAGATCCTCGTTCTTGATGTCTTGAAGCAAGCGAGGCGGCAACACCCAAACCTCTCCTAAAGACTTATCTTTGATCTTCGCGGGTTTTAGCCTATTTCCCCCAATAGGATGAGGAAACTTTGACCCCAAGTGATCTGCTAAGATGTACACGTTTTTTCCTAAGGAATCATACGCCGTGAAGGGACCGTACCAATACGGTTTGCCCTTGGTATGGGATTCATTTCTCAACTTCACGGAATCCCCTATCTCATATGTCTTTATGATTGACCGAGATTTCCCATCCTCGTCGGGAACAAACTGCAAATCAAATCGGGTTTTGTTCTGGATGGATCTCTTCTTCGAAGCCTCAGCGGCTTCTACCCTGCTGACACGAAGTCTCTCTAGGCGAGCTTCGTACTCCTCGTTGGACGTGGGTATATCCACGGGCCTGAACTTGGCCCGGTCTCTGATGAGACGAGGACTAACTCCGTAAAGGAGTTCAAATGGTGACCATTTGGTTACCGTACTCTTGTTTATCCTACACGCAAACAAGGCCTCTGGCAAGTATT